ATGGCACTTGAGAGGAACGTCGACGCCGGAACGATCTTCCTGTCGCAGGAGATGTACGCGAAGGCCGTACTTGACAAGTTCGGAATGGCCGACGCGCACTCTACGAAGACGCCTGCGGAGGCTGGGCCTATCAGCACCGTGGAGGAGAAGGTTTTGTCTCCAGAGGACACGGTGTACTTCCGGTCCGCCACGGGCAGTCTCCTGTATCTCAGCAGGGGTTCGAGGCCGGATATTACCCACTCGGTGATGGTGCTTACGAAGAGCATGGCGAAACCGGGTCCCAAGGCGATGGCAAAGCTGAAGCGGGTTCTCAGGTATCTAAAAGGGACAACCACTATCGGGATCACATACACCGAAGACGCCGACGGCGGAGACAAGCTAACGGCGTACGCGGATTCTGACTTTGCCGGTGACCAAGACAAGGGCTACTCCACAACCGGTGTCGTTCTCTATCTCGCAGGTGGCCCAGTGATCTGGATAGCCAAGAATCAAACGGTGCTGGCCATCTCCACGTTCGAGGCAGAAGTCGTCGCGCTGTCCAAGGCGTGCCTCATGGTTATACATTTTCGAAATTTGCTAGAGTCGTTGAAGATGAAGCAGAAGCAAGCAACAGTATTGTACGAGGACAACGCGGGTGCCGTAGCGTTCGCAAAGGGTAGCAAAATCACGCCCCGCACGAAGCACATCGACGTGAAGTTCCACCACGTCCGGCACCTAGAGGACCAAAACGTGGTAGATGTAACTTACATCGACACCAACAGGCAGAGGGCAGACATATTGACCAAAAGTTCGGGAGCTGTGAAGTTCCTGCAGAACCGCCTTATTTTGCTTGGAGTGTGAGTACCTCCCCTTACCGAAATCAGACCATATGTCTTAAAAGGGTTGGACGGTACATGGAATTCGCTGCCCAGAAAACTCTGGCAGTTAGTGATGAGTATTCAATTTGAATTGTTCGAGAGCATGCATTCATGTTGATAGCATTTGTCGAGAGGACACTGGTATTTGTTTCGAGAGGACACTGAGAGAAAGAATTTTGTGTCTTATGTATCAGAGCTAGTCATGACGTAGTTCTTGAGAGGACATGTTGGGATTTGTATGCAAGAACTGACTCTATTCTACTGCATGGGTTTTGTGCAGTATTGTGAAGGCGTGTCTCCAAGTCTGTAACCGTCAGGTGAAGACAGCTTGGGCGCCTGTGTTTTGGATCTAATGATCACTCTGTGTTGTATCTATCCAAACTGCGCCACCACTGCCAACTACACAACAAACAGCAACTACAATTCTGTTGTCAATAGTCTAGGACGTCTTGCGGATAGCGATGGCATTGTTGTTTGACGTAGCATATATCATGCATGCATGCTTTCCACCATACCCACAGTCAACAGCATCGCACCGTTAGGCATGAAACGAAAATCACGAAACCGCTTTGCGCCGGGAGGGGGAGCGTGGGCAGGATGATCCATCGATGCTGAGGGCTGGCTTTCATTCTCCCCTTTCTAGGTCTCCACGAAGGTCTCATTCCAACACAAACGCTTGCTCCAGGTGATTGCCGTTGACGTCGATGGGGACGATGGCTTCGATTTAGTGACCACTAGTCGGGATGGCGGCCGTGTTATCAGGTATGAAAAACCTGCTCGCTCGAAGAGGACGGTGACAGCGGAGCAACACCTACAACGCCAGCGCCGCTCCCGATCCTTGCTCCAACACCATACCCGAGCGCCCCGATGGCTCCAACCCTGGTGACGACTACCCCGACCTCACCACGAGCATCACCAGTCACCGGCACCACGTGTGAGGCAAAATCAAAACTAGCAAGTCGGGACTAAAGGAAAAGTGACAAAAAGAAGCTGTTAATGGAACCCATGGAAAGTAGTGATCGCCACTACGTCCCACCCTTCTCTCTCCCCGCCCTCCCCCCTCCCTTCCCCTTTTCACCCTCGCGTGGAATCTAAACATTCCGACGACATCGTTGACCGACATGCCTTCCCCGTGCAGCTACTCCTGCATCGGTCGATACGGAAGCAGCTGCAGGCAGCCCTACCACGGCTAGGTGTGAGAAACTAAATCTTGTGTAGGTTTCTTTAGCGTGAGTTGACTCCCAATCGAGTTCAGGACAATCCTCACCGTCTATTCCCACCGTTGATCACGTTAGCAAAACGGACCGCCACCGTCTGTGAAACGCGCGAAATTCTGAGTGAATCGCCTTTGCCGACATTTCGACGTACGTATGCTGTAGCATGGCTGCACAACATGATCCTTTACTTTTTTACCAGATGCTTCGTGTTTTTGGTGACTGGGCAATGTCGCTCACACTTTATTTGCCACCTGGCAACAGAAAACAAGAGCTGGTTCGATGGAAAGATATCCGCATTTGGACGGCATGTTGGATCGGGTCAGCGTCAACCACACAAACATCATCTAGATACGCAAGAACTTGGTCCACACCTTTGTAACCACCTCGTGGATGACGATGGTCAACCACAATGGTGGGGCGGAGATTCCTTTAGGCATCCGGATCCACTCGAAAAGCTGCATAGGCAAAACGCCGCCAGCTGGTCCGAGATATCGTTCACCGTGATCTGGTGAAATGCGGAGTTCAAGTTGAAAATGAAAAACACCACTCCCTTGTGCAGAGAACCAAGGATGTGGTCAACACGCGGATGCGGTTGTTGGCCAAGACCGCACAGTTTGTTGATCTTTTGGTACAATACCAAGACCGCACAATTTGTTGATCTTGTACGGTCAACCGCAGGATGCCGTCCGATTCGGGGATGAAAGCCAGAGGGCCACGGCGATTTTGAGTGCTAGATAAGTCCCGCGTGAAGGTAAAATGACCCGAAAACATACCCGGGAGTCACACAGCACATCCGTCAGGCTGTCAATGGTTCCCGTGGTCCAACCCGGGTCACGTAAATCAAAAGTAACATCGCCAATGCGCACGCGGCGATTTAGGCGGCAACGGGGCCGCAGGAGAGTCCGAGCTCGCCGAATCCGGAACCGAGATGGTGGGGTGCAAAGAACTCACTTCACGCGGGGCGGCGGCCCAGTATCTGAATGTACTGGCGGCGCAGGAATATTGGATCCAGCACCAGCGGCAACCTGCGGTGTTTGGTCAACCGACGCAAGCGGAATCTATTGTACAAGAGGAGCAATTGCCACTCCATGCACGTCACCAGGCTCTACCTCGGCACATCCGGCCAAGGGGGTGAAACCCGTCGAAAAACGAACGCGTCCGACCCCGAAAGATTGTCATGTTTCGGGAAGAACGTGACAAGATAGCTGCCGGTGAGAGCGGGAGTGCCGGAGTTGCGAACCACATAGGTTTTCCTCTACTGAAGCGGGCTTATCGGAAGGAGCGACACCCTGTCTGCCGGATTACCGCAGGAAGTGAGATGCCGGATGATTTCCCAGGTTTGTTGGGCTCGCATCACTTCCTATAGGCGGAAACCCCCACCGCAAATCCGACGACAAAGAAAGTATCTCCATGGCGTTTCCACTCTCAGACCGCGTAGGCAGGGTTGTGGACAAGCGAGAGTTCAAAGCAGGGCATGACCCATGACGTCGGCGGAGATCATCGCCAAAACATTGGACCGATAGCCGCATCGAGGAGGTGGTCTCAAGGGTAGGCCCAGAGCCAAAAGTAACCCACTGCCGAGCGGGCACCGAACGACGGCTGTGGATAGATGCAGCTCCTGACGAAAAAGCACCACTAATAGTAAAGGACGACTTGTGAGTCCGAGTCCGAAAGGACCACCCTAGGCGCCGCACACACTGCACCGGTACGGCTGTGCACGCGCACACGCGCCGTAGAGGTACCGCGCACACGCGCCGTAGAGGTATCGCTCACACAATCTTAGCCATTTTCCGCCAACAACGGCGGCGGGGAAGCGGCGGCGGCACGAAAAGTGGCGGACGCAATGTGCAGTACCTGCGTCACGTGGTCCACGGGTGTGTCCGCTGACACATCCAGAGGGCCATGGCCATGACCATTCGAGGAAGAAAGATCATTCGCCGAAAACCCGTCACCCGGGGGCGAAATCTCAACAATAATTGGGCACACGGGGGCCGGGATTCCCCAGTGCTCCGGTCGCAAACGCTTGCCGGGTTCGACCGCGCGTACGCGCAGAAGCCTGCGCGCCGCGACGAACGCTTTGCCCCAAGAGGTTCTGACCAGGCCATCGACAAGGAAGTGGATAACAAGGACAAACAACAAGGACAGCGCCTCCTTTGTCGGCGGTGCAGCGATATGAGGCAGTATAAGTCTGTCGAGAATTGCACTCTCTTTTCACATTGAACTCCTCGTGTTGAGATGTCTGCATTCGGTGGCAGTACGACCGGGTTCAGATGGAACGTGAACTTGTGGAGCTTCGGACTGTCACGGGCGTTCACTCCAAAAGGGACAGAAGACAAGATTCTGAAGAAGCCTGTAGACTCTCGCCAGCAGATCGGGGGTCCCGCTATCCTCTGAAGCCCAGTTCTCGCGCAAGCAAGAGAAGGATTCAGCTTGGGGTGTGTGAACGCGTCCTCTTGGAGGGCATACGTCGGCCAAATGAACAGTTCATGTAAGTGAGGGGCGAGGCAATATGCCCATGAATGCTACAGTAGAAGTATTCCGACGATTCAATTGAGAGACAACCAGACACGACACGCTTTGCAACCTGCGTGACTCTGCTAAGATACACCCGGTCCGCAGCTGGCGGCACTCTACAGGCACGAGAGGGCCCACAAACAACTAAGAAAACAAGAAAGAAAACAAGAACGTGCAAAGCTGGAGAGTCTGACGGCCAATACCACGGGCGATGCACCAGCACTCCGAACCAGACAAACACCCGTAGAGCTTGCGACAAGCTCCGAAAGGACAAACAACAGGGAAAAGTGGAAGCTCGCATTGAACAGGTGTACGTCAGAAGCAAACATCGTAGACGATGTCTTGAAGGCAATGCCAAGAATCCCAAAGAACACCTAGAGCAGAACGAACAAGCGCCGGGAGGTACATTGTCTTACCCCCTCTCCCCATCCCCCGAGTGGATACACATGAATGATTGGTCGGGTAATGTCGGCGCACTAGCCTGGAAGCTATGACCGTCAGGAATATCTTGAATCTGTTTGAACGCTAGCCAGCTACTGTACCCGCTTAGCACACCAAGCGTCCCTACCACGCTACTCCATACGATGTCAAACGTCGGAGGATCTGCGATGTTTACCTCGGTCAACGTAACAATCACAAAGGACATGACACCTGTAGATGAACTGAAAAAGTACTGGGTCAGGCACGCTAGTTTCGCACCGAAAACAATTCTATTCACGGGGGGCACGAGACACATGCAAATCGCCGAGGTGATGGCGAACCCGGTTATCGCCCACCACGTGAAAGCGAAGTTCGACCTCCACGCGCCATCACGGTGAAACAAAGGCTGAATCAGTGTTGCAACCAACGGGATAATCACGTCGCCCACTGCCTCCCCAACAAGCAAACCAACTTGGAAGCAAGTTTCGAAAGAGTCTTCGTCGCTGTTGGGTCTACTATCCACACGCGCAGCGATAGCAGCGATAGCGAAAACCAACCAGGGCCTTGTTTCCAGCTATAGCCCCGAACAAGAAATGTTTTGCGTGGACAGTTCCACGAAATACAACAAAACATACGTGGGAAACAACCCTTCCAAAACTGCGTTCACGATCGCGGCTGTTACGTGACGACCAGCATTGCTCAAGCGGAAGGCAGACAGAGCACTCACAGCACCAAACAAAGGTACCGCTCCAATCTTGAGATTCTCTTTCGAGCTAGGCACAAGCAAAATATCACACATGCCCTCAGCCACGGAAAACACGTTAGCCATCAAGAGCAGGTAGCAATGGACCTCATCGGCTCCTTTATCCTTTCGGCAACAGGTAAGGTAGAATTGGTTCAAGGCGGTGACAATCCCTGCCACAATTAATTAAACCCTGATTGGTCGCGCTTTCTAGTATCCCCGGGTCGTCGACGGACGGCCCGCCTGCGCCTTCCACGCACGAGGGGCCTCCTGGGCACTCCGAAGAGAGGGGTGCCGAGGTTGGTGATTGTGTCACAAACCAGGGATCGATACGCGCGAAACTTGAGCAAGCAAACTCGTCAAGCGACTCGGAAGAGTCAGCCCCATAGGTGGGCTCGCAGCAGTCGCCGAAGTCGTAGTCTGACGGACGGCTAAATACAGACAGCCCGATACATACATCAAAGAGGGAGCATATGTTCGGCGTTCCACCTTAATATTCCTGCGTACTCGGAACTGTGTCAGACACCGCCCCCATCATAGGATGAATGAATCATCAACCGAAAAGGGGAAAACAACACAAGTATGGTTAGGACTTGCCCCTGCGTCCGTTCTTTCTGCAAGGGTTAGTGCGACCATGCCGTCCTGCGCTATGTAGCGACGAAACGTGTGAGAGAGAAGCGTGGCCGCTGCACGCAGTATTTTGATGGGAAGCGGGGGGGTTGGGTTGGTGTCACAACAAGTATGATCCGTGTCTGGGTTGTTTAGGGATTCCTCGGACGCATCGTGTCGACAGCAGCCTCGCGTTTCAAGCCGCAGGAAACCATTTGTCTGACGACAATGCTAAACCCAGATGTGGCCGGGGAACGTTGACGTGCATGTGACATTTTAAGCAACGAACGTCGACGCGCCGCATATCTCGTTGTTGTTGGACCCCTGGCAGTAGCCGTTGCCAAGTAGTTCCGCGTCGCAGTTCTCGAACATGTCGAACGTGATGCTTCGTCGAAACATGACGCCGTTGGGTCAACGCACGCGGAATCCGAGCGGCTTCTTCCATCAAGCACATCTGTATAGGAGTCATGTCCACACGTGCACTCGCAGCAGTCGCCATCGAAAGCTGAGGAGTTGGGAACATCGACAACCAGAAAAAAGAGAGAAGGTACAGCAGGCAAACAAAATCGAGGGGTTCCATAAAGCCCTTGGTTTGGCCGACTTACCCTTAGCCCAAAATTATTTGAGATGATAGAATGGACGGTGAAGCACGGACCGAAGTCAACGTACAGTTTTCTGCACAGACAAAACGAATGGCTATGCCGTATCACCGCCGTAGGACCGAATTGTTGACAAACAAAATATCATCCATGACAATTGGCGGCCGTACCCCAAGCCACACAAGGCAGAGGGAAGAGTAGACGTAAGCGCCACGTGAGAAATCGAAATTTCAGCAAGACGCACCGCATAAATATCTCGATGTTTGTTGGAAGTAAGTATCGCCATTTCCGTCACCAAGATATTCTATGATGCAGGTTTCCACGGCATCAGCCGCAATGTCGTCGTCGTCAGCGCATGGAGCCATGGGATCAATGCAGGCGAAGTCGGTGCAGCCGAACTCAGTGGACCACAAAGTGCTAACCACACCGACAGGTGCACTCGCAGCAGTCGCCACCGTCATTCCCTGACGAATGTTGAATAGGTAAGGAACAACAATCAGAAACGAAGAGCAGTCAATCTTCGGGTATCACGTCTGTTACCACGCATTATTGTGTCCGTTGAATGGGCGAGAAGCGCACTTCGCGTGCTAGAAGTAGCACGCAACAGTTGAGGAAATGATCGAGGTCAACGTTGAGCGATACGAATCAAATGCGCGGTGTCTGTGCTGCTTGTGTTCCTAACGCAGTAACCTGACAAATGTAAAGGCGTCAGAACAAGGTTGGCCTACAGGGATAAAGGTCCCATGAAGTACAACCCGATGCCTCGGAATTGTAGGGCCGAGAACTACCCCTCGCCTTTCCCTTCCCGCGTTCAATCGACTTCAGGAATAGAATTTGTTGAACCGTGGCTAGTCTAATCCTTTTCTGGCACACCGCATTATTCGTTGTTGTTGAAGTCGTCGCAGAATCCATCGCCGAAGTTGAAGCAACCCTCGAACATGCCCTCGGTGATGTCGTCAACACACGGTGCGTTCGGGTCAATGCAGGCGAACTCCGTGCACGAAGAGTCATCAAGGTCACCAGACTCATTACCACACGTGCACTCGCAGCAGTCGCCGCAATCATAATCTATCTGCGCAACGGCATGTACAAAATACCAGCAAAACAGAGAAACAAGTCCTCAGCATGCATGGGAGGATAGTCAGGGCCACACCTGTGATGTAGCTTCGCTCGGGATTGCGGGAGGCCTTCCCTTTTTCTCTATCACAGACTACACTTAATGATGGCATATCCTGTCGTTTGCAGTATGAGCAGCAATAGAAAGCAAGCAAGCACGCGCTACGTCCACAGAGAGCAGAGCATATCATCCTTTATGAGAAAAATGAGCTTTGTAAAATAAGGTCTTGTTGGCGGCAAGCATGCCACCAAAATGCACCTCTGGCCCCCTCGCTATTTGATACCCATTGTCCAAGGCAATCCAACCCAAATCACAAAGGACCTGCATCCGTTGGCACTAAACATAACTCTTTTGGAGATTGATTATGACTTCCAAAAAAAAAAAGTTAGAGCAGCTATTATTATTGCAGCTATTTTCTCATACATCCATGTGCTGCGGTCCTGCCTACTTCATTGTGGTCCACTGGCTCCAGGTGCCAGGTGGGATATCGCAAACTGCCAACACAATGGCAAGCACGAGTTCTGCATTGTCCATCCTATCGGTCCGGTGTAGTCGCACTATGTAGCAGAGTGGTACAATTAGCTGTGCCCCGGCGCCCCCGGGCATAATTGTTCTGGGTATTGTTATTAGATCATCATAAGTGTTTCCCGCTCCGATGTACAGTAATCAATCGATGCCAATCAAAAATCGTGCTTGGACTCGCCGCATTCTTCGATGTTGTTTGATTCGTTGCAGTAGCCGTTGCCAACACCGGAAACGTGGCCACCACTATAGTAACAGCTCTCTACGACTTCTGCGGTGATGTAGTCGTCGATCACACACGCCGCGGCCGGGTCTATACAGGCGAAGCCAAAGTAGTCGCAGGGGTACGAGGCGTCGACACAGGTGCACTCGCAGCAATCGCCGCCGTCGTAGCCTGAGGGACAGGAAAACATGTCCTCATCAGACCGCCTCTTGTTGATCCCCCGTACCCTTGAAACCGCTAGCGATGCCAATCGACTGGACTTCGTCGACGAGGAGACGCACCGAGTAGAGCATGCCGGCTTCTTTCGGGTTGACTCAGTAAATTGTTTGGCAACCTTCACTACGTCACGGCTCGGTCCTGACCTCGTACCGCAGCGAAGTGCGAGCTTTTCCCTTTGTCTTCATACGTTTCTGTTGATGTCTCCTCGCAAACAGCGCAAACCCTTTTCGCAGGACCATATCTTCGTTAACCAAAAGGCCACGCTCAGAGTACTTAGGTCACATGCTAAATATCACCCAAAAGAGGAAACACTGCAACGAAACTAACAGATCCCAACAAGTACAATGCCCCACCGTTCCGAAAATGGGTTCTCTGAAGTGAGCGTTTTCTTTCCTGAATTGTCCAAGCTAAATGGCAGAAATGGCAGAAATCGAGGGACGGTACCGGAGAAGGTTACGCTGGTCACGCTAGGGAGCTTAGGGAACAGCAAAGCACACCACCGAGGGCCACCACGAAATAACGTGGAATTGTTCAGTCTAACCCCTACGAAAAGGGGGGTTGTCCCTCGTTAGATTTTCGCCGACCGGACCCACCCTCGGAGTGCGAGATGACCTGGTGAAAAATCTCAGATGGGCCTACAAGTTGAAAAAATGAAAAAGACTCACTTTTGTGTAACAGTTTGATCTCAATGTATGTGTGATTTTACTTCTGAATCTTTCCCGTATGTTTGAGGGGCAAGTCTACCCACGGCAAGTGGTTAGCTTTGTTGGGTATTTGCTGTTTTTCCCCGACCCTTGGTCCTTCTGTGCCTTGTTGTGGATCAGCTTGTAACCTCTCAGCACTCGTTCATCGACTCCAGCTGCACGGAAGAGGAGGTATTTTCTAGATATTCATACGAAGGCCAAAGTACCAACGACGATGACATCAACAGCAACAACAACAGCTGCTACCACCACGGACTAGTTGGCGGGTACAGTAGTACATACAGTAGGGGGCGTCTTTGCCGTGCTTCATGCCACCACGCGAGCCAAGTCGCGCACCAAGAGCATGTCATGTTGAGAATTTCGGGCGTGAAGGACTTGGTCTATCGCAGTACGACTGAAGAAGGGGAGGGAATGGCGAATACTCCCAACATCTGTGGAACCACCTGTTCACGAGAGCAAAGAGCACACCGTTTTGGTGAGCCATCCTTTCCGGTGGCCGTTGCGGAGTGTGAGAGGCTGAAGGGGAGCGGTGTAGAACCCAAACCATCAGTAGCTTCTAGACACACGTCGCTAACCTAGAACGTCATATGAATTCTCGATGTGTCACTTACCGCATTCTGCGTTGTTTTGGGCGTTATCACAATATACATCCGCCTGAAAGGAAGCGTAATATCCCGAGTCACAGGTTGTGCTGCTGGTACCGCTGCTGCCGGGAGATATGGTAAGGGCAGACCCCAGGAGACCGAGGCAGAACGAGGAACCTCGAACCATTACCACAACGTCGCTATTCACGTGGTGGGGTCGTCCAAGCCCTTGTGGTCTATGTATGCGGTCCGGGTAGAGGCTGGAAAAAGCTAACGGCGAAGGCGCGGGACGGCGGGAGGGAGGACGAGCTGTTAGAGGTTTTTACACCGGAGCACGGAGCGGGCTACAGCAGAGTGGGATTGATTTTCACATGGGGACGGTTTCTTTCTGCCTCACCTTCGAAACAAATACGCATCCCGTGTTTCCCCATAAAGTAGCTTGATACAGTTATGAACGCAATCGACGTCCACGGATGCCCATGAGAGCAGGCCGTGCGCGAGGAAGAAGCCACAACGAATTCCCCGATCTCAATAGGGCATTCGTATGCTGACATGAGCACCGTATTTGTTTAAGGGCTGTCCATACCCCATCCATATTTCTTCCATCGACCGGCATGGAAGCAATAGGTTCGTTCTTGTTCATCTGGGGCAGGCCAGCAGGTGCGCTTAATGGGGTAACCCGTCTCACCGCAAGTTCTCCGCACCACCACGTCTGCATCCCTGGAACCAGAAGCTTCTTGTTTTTCAACATTGAAATATTTGAGACCGACGTCCAGAACAAGCGGGATGGCAAAAGAACAAATTACCGGTACGCTTTTTACCAAGGGGAGGGAGAAGAAGAGTGGAACCTGGGGATCACACGAATCCCTCGCAGAAAAATTGTCGGTACACACGAGTCAATATGCCAAACAGGCCTGCACCCACCACACAAGTGGCCTGGGTTACCATACTGACATTACACGCCCTCACTCCTCCACGATTGATCACAATTCCTTCAAGTAGTATTCTCTCGAACCACTTCTAGCATGCCCCCTGCTTCGACAGCCGGCACTACGTCGTCGATCTTGGCACGCTGTAGTCTAGTCTAGTGGTTGCCTAACCAAAGTGCGCTCGGACGCGAGAGAAGAGTAGTCGAAACCCACGCGGCGTCTCTGCCGTGATTTCGGACGTTCCGTGAGGCCTTTACCCCTTATCTATGCCCCGGACCATCGCCCCTGCCTTCACAACAGCTCCGGCGACGCCCCACCCGCTGCCTAACCCTGACCCTAACTAACCCTAACCTCGGACGGTGCAGCGTAACGAACGGGAAAAATGTAAATACCCCACGCCGCAAAGTCTGATAATCACGCATGACGTCGTCGTGGGTGATGGCGGCGAGCGCCGGCTCAAAGTCTGGTCCGCGAGGATGCTGATGCTGCAATCATTTGCGGGCGGCTACATGGCCTTCTCGATGGGCCACAACGCCCCCGAAGACGGCGCGCCGGTGGGGCTCTCGGGAAGCATGTCTAACTTCGACAGCAACATTCCGGGACACGAGAGCATCAAGATTGTCCGCCACAAGTGCCGTGTCTCCCGACCCTATGGGTCGAAAGTCGAAGACGTTTTTGCCGGAAAAGGCGCGCAGTTGGTGAAGGATCGTATCCATCGACTCGGACGGCACCCATCAGCATACTCTGCAAAATTTGCTTTTATGGCCCGGCTTCTGACCCATGTTGCCCGCCCAAAGGCTACACAACTATACAACCAAGTTGTGCGGAGATCGCCAGCATTCAACGTTGAGTTGGTAAGGCTCCTTACCCTTCCGCTTCGATCTCATAGCTCCCGTGTCCCCCACGGCAACACGCTCAGGGGCGAGGGGACCGTGACGGGGCCGGCCGCCGCGGTGACCCCACGCTACGGATCGCGCCAGTAGTCTAACGCGATTTTTCAGCATCGCCGCAAGGCCGGAAGAACATTTTAGAAAAGATTGGCCAATTCTTGCTGCTATCGGGAAATCTTGTGCCCGCGGCCTACCGCTGTGGTCTAGACCCAAAAGCCGCTCGGCGCTCCCACCAACAAATGAGCCATACGCAGCCAGTTGCCGGCGAGTCTCGTCCCTGGCGGCGCATTTCTGCTATATTGCCTTGCTCTGCCCCCCAAGTTTCCCCGACAGTGATCCGAAATCTCTCCCTCATCAGGAGGCGATGATCAAGCCGCGGCTGCAGCGCGGGCAGCTGCTACCAAGGCCGCGGCCACGGCTGGACTATTGGCACGAAAATATGTGGAGGGAGCATCATGCCCGCCTGATACACCGGCGCCTCCGTCGCGTTGGACCCCAAGCCACTCCTCGGTCTCGGGCACTTTTTCGTCATCGAGCAAATCAGCATCGTGGGACGATGCAACCCTTCCAGCGTGGATGGATGCAGATACGCCAACAACGCGAACGTAGGAGACGCGCAGCTCCCAACGCTGGGTTCATTACACCCGGGATGTGCGACAGGCATTTGGCCTACCAGATGCAATGCGAGGACTACCGATTCTTACACTCGAAATGACGAGAATGACTCCACCACCAGGTATACGGAGCAATCAATCACTCGAGCCATCGGCTTAACAACGTGACGACCGGTGGAACGACGTTTGGGTTATTGCAATCCGCTTCATCACGGTCCGTCGCAGTTCTACCTTCCCAGCACTCATGCCTCCTCGAAAATAACCACTTAAATGAATCCGATGAGGTGTTCCACTGAAGAAATCCTCTGCAATGCTTGCCGTCCGCTTAAACGTTGAAGCCGGCGTGTCTCCTACCCCCCAAGGCTACGCTTTACCACAAAGGTTCCGGGCTAGGTGAAGAGAGCGGTAGCGATAACTTCATTCACGACCTGCCATAACCTGTTCGTATGAGTACGCGGGAAGGAACTCTGTTGTTGTGTCCTTCTCTCGTGCCTTGCCTTACGAGAAGGAAGATTGTATGCTTCGTGTTTCCGTTGTTTTGTTGTCATCGGGCAAAGTAAGCGTTTCCTACACCTAGTGGGGTTCCCCTACAGTAGGGTGAAAACTTCCGGTAGGCGGCTTTTTTTCCGGTAGCGGTGTGCTTTCCGTTAAGGTGATTACGCCGCACTTCTAACCGGAAAAAGGGGACCGAAACGAAAAAAGGGGACCGAAACCGTTTCGGTCCCCTTTTTCCGGTTAGAAGTGCGGCGTAATCACCTTAACGGAAAAAGCACACCGCTACCGGAAAAAAAGCCGCCTTATGGTTTCCAAATCTTTATCTTCCTTTGTTTGGACAAATGTTGGCTTTTTCGACCTTGTGGGCAGTTTGCCTCCCGAACGAATGCGAATCAGCTGTTCGACCTTTGAGAACAGTCACAGCTTTGCCTGAGATGCATACAGACCGCCTATCTATTTGTTTCGCCAGGGTCCACGTTTGATTTTTTTCCAGCAGAGCAAGATGTTGAAGATTCGGCCGAGAATGGCTACCTCGGAGCAAATCTTGGGCCAAGATCTGTCCAAAAGCTGCTGGTGTGGAAAAGAGGGTTTCGTCCTCGACAGACGTTGGGGAGTTTCAACCTTTATGAAGGTGTTCTCCACATTACCCCCCCCTTTTTCGAGGCTTCTTCTTGTTTGCTAGGCAAGAGAAGTCTTCTTGGGGTAACCGGAACCCGACCGGCTGGCGGCGAGTAGAACCACCTCTTTTCCAACAATCTTCTGTGCGTGTGTGCGGGTGCACCACTTCCGCCACGCATTGCCAGAAGTTTCGAGTTCGATAGACAGTGCATCGTTTCTTGGCCCACCCACCGTTTTCCTTTTTCCGTACTCCGGAAGAAAATTAGGTGAGCAGCGGGTTTTGAACCCGTGTCTTTTGCAACCAAAAGCAGACACCTGACATCTCATCGTCGACGCCATTGTGGAAAAGAGGTGGTTCTACTCGCCGCCAGCCGGTCGGGTTCCGGTTACCCCAAGAAGACTTCTTCTCTTGCCTAGCAAACAAGAAGAAGCCTCGAAAAAGGGGGGGGTAATGTGGAGAACACCTTCATAAAGGTTGAAACTCCCCAACATCTGTCGAGGACGAAACCCTCTTTTCCACAAGAAACGATGCACTGTCTATCGAACTCGAAACTTCATTGTGGAAAAGAGGGTTTCGTCCTCGACAGACGTTGGGGAGTTTCAACCTTTATGAAGGTGTTCTCCACACTGGTGTTGGAAAAATCTTGCGTGAAAATCGCGCATCTTGAAAAAATCAAACCTGGGCCCTGGCGAAACAAATAGGCGGTCTGTATGCATCTCAGGCAAAGCTGTGACTGTTCTCAAAGGTCGAACAGCTGATTCGCATTCGTTCGGGAGGCAGACTGCCCACAAGGTCGAAAAAGCCAACATTTGTCCAAACAAAGGAAGATAAAGATTTGGAAACCATAAACATGGGCCTTACTGTACCGGAAATTTTCACCCTATAGGGGAACCCCACTAGTGTCGAAATTTCCCAGGGGCATGAGAGTGGGGGGCCCGGTCGCCACGTCGGGTGGTTCAGACACATATGTCATACATGCTGCCTCGTGTCGTGGTCTTCTGTTTCTTTCTATGTAGGTCGCGGATTCGAGTCTCTCTGGAAAGTAAATCTCTCGTGATCCAGTGGTGGAAAGCGCGTCGTCGTGAGTTGATAAGATATATAGATTGCCGTGAGCCCACGGCTGCCTCCCCAATTTATTTATTTTTTGTGCGTGCTTGGCTTGGCATTTTTGTGCTTGGTGTCAGATGGAAGCACAAAAAGAGTCGACATAGGTGTGGAGGTCAGGATATGGAGATTCAGGAAGCACAAACACACGTAGTACATAAAGAGTCAGATCCAAGCGATATGTGATAATAGATCACTGTTGGTCCCAAGGGGTCATGACCCTACAGATTCCCAACGGGTGCGAATAGTTGATGAATCTTTAGGAGGATGGGAAAATGAGTCCACAAAGGCTCGTTCACACTCTCCGCACCACCCTACCTTGACTGAGTTCGCTCGGTCACGCTTGGCATTCCTCGCCACATTGCACCAAAGGAAAGAGCCAACCTCCGGTGGCAGGACATAGCCACCACAACCCCGGACTCTCCGCTCACCCAGAGTAGAGGGCATCCATATTGGCGTCGACGAAGAGATGTTGTTCTAGCAATTCAACACTGGCGTCCTTTTTTATGGGGTAGACATTTTACGTGCGTGACTGATCGTGCGGCATTGCGATATCTTTATACGATGCAAGACACGTCAAATATGCTCACTAGATGGGCAATAGCACTGCAATCCTTCGATTTCACGGTAAAACACAAACCGGGAAAGTTGCATGTAGTGCCGGATACGTTATCGCGACTTTTCGTGTTCGATAATGAACAAGAACGAACTGCGCCGAACCTTGCACCGATTTGCCGAAATGTACCGGACGATCCAAAGCTGCAACAACACATGCCAAACAGACCATACAAAGTCTCGACTGACAAATTGGATGAAATGCAACCAGTCCTTAGTGATAGGGAATTATTCACAGTAAATTCAAATTTCGTCAGCGCCACGGAGGAAGTATTTGAATCTGTTAAGCATGAGAAATTGCGCGAGAAACAAGCCGCAGAATACGGCGAATATGTCCAATACATTTTAGACGCCAAAGCACCGCTACCAGACAACGAAA